AAATAATTTGGGGCCTTTAATCTACCTCCGGATTAGGAGGTCACTAACTCACATCCCTTCTGAGCTACCATCTTTGACGGTCAGCCTTCTGAACCCATGCTGTCCGCACTCCTGCTTCCACTGTCTTCCGTCTGGCTCTAGGGCTCATTATTCCAGTAAAATTTTTCCTAAAAAGGCCATTAGTCACCTCCATATTAGCAAATATACTGGAAAGTATTTTTTCTTGCTTACTAGAAGTTCTTGACATCATCGAACACTTTTGTAAAACTCTCTCCCCTTGGGCTTTTTCATACCATATTGTAGTTTCCTTCAATTTCTCCCATTTTTCTACCCGTGTCTCTGTTGTTCATGGATTCCACATGTGATCACATCAATTGTTACTTTCTTTTCACTCCTTACAAATTTATCTTTTATTTCTATTTCTCCAGATACTAATCTAGTCAAAACTGAAGCACTGCCTTAGCTGATCTGCTGCAGTAAACACTAATTGCTCTTCTATCATGTCACCTTCACCCTTCTAATCTGTTCTTAAAATTACACCCGGAACAATGACTGAAGATTGAAACCTTTGGATTATTTTCCAAGACTTAAAGTAAAAATTAAGTCTTAGAAAGTCTCATCCCATTTCCTGACCTTCTCCACTCTGCTGTCTACAGTTCCTCAACCCGCCATAATCTTTCCATCCTAGGATCTTCCTCTCTACTCATCTTTCTGGATAGAAAATACGTACATCACTCCCCCTGCTAAATTCACCACTTAAATACCATTGGTTCAGAAAAATAAGCACTTGCCTCTCTGCTGAAATGATATTTACCCACATTTTTTTCTCAGATAAAATTATTTTTCTTCTATGTCACTGTGTCATTATTACATTTGCTTGTTTATTTCTTTAGTATTACCTCCAGAGAGTAGATTGTAAGTTTGATGAAAGAAAGTACATAATATAATGGTGATAATCTTCCCTCTGAAGTCAGACTACCCAGTGTAAATTCTTGATCTAGAACTAGCTGTGACCTTGTCAAATATTTTTCAGTCAACTTTCCACAAAATATTTCTATTAGTAGTTCTATTACCATTATTACCTCCTGAAGTGTGCCTAGTACATAGTTGGTTCTCAGTAAATATTGAATGATTGAATGAATGAATTATATTTCTATGTGATGTTCTGCATTTAATAAACATATGCTAGGTATATTTTAAAAGATAAAGTAGTAATATATGAAAAAATTTAAAAATATTCTTTTCATATCCAACCATTTTTCTTGTCTCATTGCCTGCTCTGTATTACAAGCAATAAAATGTCTATTATATCTTTACAAGTCAAATGAACATTAACTCCAAAAAAAACTAGAAATTTCTATATTTTGAGTTGACAGTCTAATTAATAATTTTATACATTTATAGTTTATTTTAAACTAGAAGTATATGTTGATATTTCAACCAATCTGATTTGTGCAAACATTTTAAAAAGAGGTCATTGAATGCAAATTTTCATGCATAAGAATATATTCATGATATTATATACCATGACAAGAAAAAAATTAAACTATTAATAGAAAAAATGCCTTTTGGAATAAAAAAGGGAAAACAAAAAAAGTCTGTGCTTCCTGGCATAATTTATGTCACCAATTTATAATATAATTTGGTACTGGCTGTAATAGAACAGAAAAAGATTCATAAATAATAATCTGACTGAACTTGTAGGAACCAGTACAATAACAATTTTAAATCTTAAAAAGTATAAAGTTTACTATTTATATACCATTCTTTAAAAATAATAAATTTAATGTCATTAAAAATAGTTTAGTTTAGACTATAATCATGTGTGACATGTTACAGTGAAGGTCTAAATCCACAACTTTTCAACTTTCCTTTTTAACATTAGTTAATTTATACTACCAATGAAATTCTTGTCAGAAACAGAAATATAAATCCACTCAGTTTAAGCTCAGTATCTTCAACTTTTTCAAATCAATTATTCAACCATTGGTGAAGAGAAAAAAAGGCTCTTCTTTATGGTTAAATCCAGAAAAAGATTAATTCATTTTCTTTTACTAATCCAACTTCATATTTTCTCTCAAAATGAAATATCCATTAAATTCCCAAAGGATACAGTCATGGGATCAATTAATATTGCATGTATTTGAATGTGTCTTATATGGAATTTTGTTATACTACAGTGGTTTGTATAATTAACCATAATCTGTTCAAAATATTTCTCCAAAATCAGTGAGAATCTTTAATAACATTCATGAGAGCATGATGTATGTGTTAAAGCAAAGGTGCATAAACAGATTTTGCTGAGGAAATCTTAGAAAAGGCCCAGTAATTTTATTAGGAAATGTTTTCTTTAGAAAGCAATGTTTTCCAACTCACTCTTTTTCTATTAAACCATGGAAAGTTATGAGTATCCAAGGCTTTATTTATATACTTCACTCTGCAAATATCTAAGATTTTTTTTAACCTTTCCTACAATACTTTTTCCAACAAGTGTACAATTTTACTATCATGGGATAGTATAAAATGTTAGGTATGCTCATTGTCTTCAAATTTACTTGAGATATTTCCATGTTCATTTTGTTTCCTTTGGTTTGGTTTAGTTTTGGCATTTTCTGTGGGTTTTTGTTTTGTTTTTATTTTTCTTTGATATGGGACCTTGCTATATATTCTAGGCTGATCTTGAACTCAACATGTAGCTCAAGTTTGTGTCTAATTCACAGGGATACTCTTGCCTTAGCTTCCAAAGGGCTGGGATTAGAGGCATTTGCCACCACTCCTGGCTCCATATTCATTTTTTTTAAAAACACTATCTTAGCAAATTTTACTCTAATTCTTTGGAAATAATTAATTCTGCAATTATAAACTCATTTAATGAGAGCATTCTGGCCTTGGAAATGGGATTTATTTTGGGTTTGCCTGTAATTTGCTTTTTATCAATTTCAATTTAAAATAAGATACAAATGTAACTGTGGTCCTAGCAGGAAGAATAATTGCATTGTGCCTGTGTTTCTTACTGGACCACATTGTGACTCACAACTGCACTGTCCCACTGCTTACATCACACAGGTGCAGCAGACAGACTTTCTAAGATTTCAGTCCCCAAGCTGGCACTCCCACCCCCCCGGAAGCTGTGAATGAGATATCATGCCTGTGGTTATTATTATGCTACATGGCACAGTTGACCTTAACATAGTAAGATTGTCCAAGTGAGCTTGATTGTCACAAGGATCTTCAAAGCACAGAGCTTTCTCAGTTGATGGCAGAGAAGAAAGTCAGAGAAATCGGATGCATCAGATGGATTTGTGATACTCTGTGGCTGCTCTGAGAATAAGGCTCACCACTTAAGAATACAAATGGCTTCTAGGCGATAAGAACAGTGACTAGCAAAGGAATGTGTACCTCTCTCCTGCAACACCAAGAAGCTAAATTCTGCCAATAGCAGAAATGACAGGGAGAGGCCCAGCTCCTGATCAGAAACAACTGGCCAGTGCCTGCCACCCAGCTTTGCAAGACCCTGAGCAGAGAACCCAGTCATGCCATCTTGAGCTTCTCACTTAGAGAACTGTGAGATAAAAAATGGCTTTTAAGTGCTAAAGCTGTGGCAATTTCATATACAGTAACAAAAACCTGGTACAACAGGGAATACTTTTAGCATCCATTAAGCCAATGAAATTATAGTTGTGACTTAAGCCCCAAATTGCTTAAATTTATCACGTGTTGATATCCAAGCCCCTGACTGGCACGCATATGAATAAAACTATAGATTGCATTCCTCTCTTTCACTTCTATTTATAACAATAAACATTTTATCATTACTTGAAAAAAACTGAACAAAATTGCATTACTTTTTAACAATTATTTAATTTACTAATAATATGTCTAAAGGTTAAAGAAACAGATTAAAGGTACTGGGTTTCTAAAGGGAGATTCATTTCCACCTCAGCCCAATATATGGAATCATTTTTTTATAGTTTGATAATACTTCTTGTCAGCAGAAGTATACATTCTTGTCCTAAAACATGCCCTTATCATCCAAAATATTACTCATAATTACCCACATATGCTTGCCCCACATCCGTTTTTAGCTTTTCCCTCTCCCTACTCCTGGATTCTACTCTAAGGCATTGCTTTTTTAAAATTTCATCAACCACAAATTAAGCGCACTACTATCCCCTCTTCCCATTTCCAAGTGATTATCCACACCTGAAAGCTTCACAATTTCACAATTTCCTGCTTGTGTAGCAGTTCCTGTAAGCCTATTTTCAATAAACTCAACATGCTAAATAGTACAATAAACACAGGTATGCATGGCTCAGTGGCAGTAGAATTCAAAAGTATTCACAAGTGATTGAATACAGAAGGTGAGTAGAAAGAGAAAAAACCCAACTTTCAATATTAGGTGACTTGAAGGAAGAAAAAGCCCGAAGCAATAAAAGCAAAGAAAATACAGAAGAGGAAAACAAATCTAAAATGAAATTAATTGATTTGGAATATATTGAGGTCTTTGTTCAAATACAAAAAGGGAAGATTTCTGTAACTAGCTTTAGAACATAACCATATTGTACAATGTGGTATAGAATACAAATCTCCTCTTCTACAATGTAGATTCCTTAATCCTTTATTATTAAATAAATCTATATTTTTATATGGTGAAACATTTTCATTTGTACATAATAGAACTCCTCCTAATGTGAGTATAATTCCATATGTGATTTATGAAATCATCTTTTTTGTTTCTCTTTGTAATTCAGGGAGTAAAAAAATTTTCTTTAGGGAATATTCTTCCAAACTTTATAGCTAGTTTACTACTATGACCAAGCAAGGAAATTTCACTTCCAAGTATAACCACAAACCCAGCTACTTTCCTCTGCAAACTATTGTTCCAACATATTTCAGCCTGAAATTTTCCAGCTGTGCTCAAGGGCTTCTCACAACCACATGGAAACTATTTCTTGGAGCTTATTTTTAATTATAGCTTTTACTCTCCTTTGCTTCTTTAGATATGTCTGCTCCCAAGGATACATGATGCTCCAGAGACATGACATTTGTGACACCACCACTGTATGATATTCTACAATAATGAATATCATAGGACAGATGGAAACATTACCACAGAATTTGGATTTGGTTTGTATTTTATTCAGAAAGATGTCCATTCCACCATTAATGTGTGTGCTTTGAATGCATCAGATGTTATTCATCCAGTGAGATGCCTATAAATACCACACAACTAGGATCCCACAAAGTGTCATGCTAAACAAGATCCACACCCTTAATGACAGAAGTGGTAACATACATTACACGTTCTTCCAGCAGAAGTAACATTATGTTACTCATCTGTCTTGAGAAGCAACTTCCTAATGACTGATGTCTCTTACCGGCAAAAGCTTTCAAGTAAACTTTCTACCAAAGTCATGTTCGCTTCTCGGAAATGACCAAAAATAAGCAATAATGTCTGGTAAGAGAGATATAAATGTTTAAAATTCAGAATGAAATGATCATTGTAGATACATTTATGACTCTGATTCAAATTATTAGAATCTCAACATTCAGGTTAGTTTAAAGGTAAATCCAGAATTTGTGTATTCCAAGAAGGTGTTAAAAAATTCAAATTGTAATCTATCTAACATTGAATTCAGAGTCCTTTTTACTGCTTAGAGACTAATCCAGGATGAACCAGGAAGATCGGACAGATTAGTCTACTGTAATCACTTGGATAAAGTAGCCGCCCTCAACTCTCACCTTACTTCTTAGAGCTTAGTCAAAAGGCCCACACACTATAGTCAGCATATTTTTTGAAGTGCATCTGAGGAAAATGGTGGGGTAAAAACGGTGCTTATTATTGAAATTTAACTTATATGTGACACTTCTGCAAGATAGTTCATCATTTCTTATAATTTTCCTTTTACAGATGATGAATTTGAGGCCAAAGATACAAAATGGTTTTTTGGTAAGGGTTGAGCAAAACCTGAATCAAGATGTTTTGTTTTCTTGTGTTTTCATTTCATAGTACATTTCTTAGTATATCATATACATTTAGTATATCATATATATACTTAGTATATCATATATTTAGGATATCATATATCATCTCAAAATTTTATTGCTAATAAAATATTTTTTATTTTTTTACAAGATCTTTTTTTAAAAGAATACTCTTGCCATAGATAAATAATGTAAATAACACTGATGCGCAAGATATCCTTCCAGGACCACCCAGCATCACCCAGAAAGTTTCAGAAATGCACTTTCTTAGACTCAGCCAAACCTAATAACTGAAAGTCTCGGCAAGTGGGCCTTGGCAATGTATGCTTTAACCAAACCTCCAGCTGATGCTGATAAACCCTCAATTTGGGGCCCTAGAACAGTAATTCCCAGCATTTCAGGTGAATTGGTAACATGTGTACAACTTTTAAAGTCAGATGCACTTCCCTCACTTTTATCTGTGTGGTTCTCATGTGCCACAAAGAAGAAGCAACACTGCAGAATGTTCACAAGATTAGTGAAATTCAACTGTTTAACAAGTAACGACATTTATTTTCACATTTGGTCAATTTAAAGACTTCTCATCGCAGTGTTTCTTAGATGTGGATAATTTGGTTCCCAGGGGACACTCGGCAATGTCTAAAAACATTCTTTTTTTTTTTTTTACAACTTGTGAAACAGGTTCTATTGACATCCAGCAGGGAAAAGGCTAAAGATACCACTAAACAGTTCCCAGCATGTAAACACACACGCACAGACACACACCACGAATTTTTCTACCATATACATCAAATAGTGCTAAGATTGAGAAACCTTTCTCTACCAGAGGAAGAACTCAAAGATTCAACGAACACTGTGAGGCATAATCACCTAGACTCTTCACTGAGTACATTTTCTCTTGCTGCAGGTTGGTAACTGTCCTCTGTAAATTATAATAGAAGCAATACTTTAGGCTTTGAGCACCATGTAATCTCTGTCCTAAAGTTCAGTTCTGTTGTCAAAGCATAAAAGCAAAAAGAATAGCAAGTGAGCATTAATGTGTTCTGATAAACCTTTATTCATAAACATTGGCAGTAGTGGGATGTGCCCTGCGCATCACAGTTTGCCAAACCCCGGCATAGATCACTCCCATGCTTCAATATTGTATAAGAGGCATAGTTACGGTGCTGTGATGGTCAAAAGAAGGTGTTATAAATGATGTACCTAAGAAGGCTTCACAAAGGAGGAAGCTTTTAAGCTGAGTCTTGAATGATAGACAAAAATAACACATTTGTAAACAACTCGGTTTTATTTTATGAGAGTTATGTGACATTAATAAAACAACTTTAGGGGCTGGGGATTTAGCTCAGCGGCAAAAAGCGCCTGCCTGGCAAGCACAAGGTCGTGAGTTCGGTTCCCGGTACC